ACCAAACTTATGTATCGAGTATTTTTTTCATTATGTGCTTTGAACAACACTTTATTGCAAATGATTTGTCTTATCAGTCTATATGTGTTTATAACATTGTTTTCAAAGGTGTGGTTTTAGTAACTAGGAGATTAATATTTCATAAAAAAAAATTATTAATAATAAATCTATTGGAGGTATTAGAAAAGTTCACATATCTATTTATCTCTCTCTGTTGAAATTTTATGAATTATATTTTATTTTCTTAAAATGCTTTAGTTTAATATTGGTTTGTAAATTTTAAAAAGAGAACTGTTTTTCTACTCGAATAATGAGTTTTTATTTGTTACCTTATTTACCAGGCATGATTTGATTAGGTTTTTTTTTAGTTGATGATTCATTTGTTGGTCATGCTGTGAGGGACTTAAGATCCATTAATACATTTTCATTCATCTATATATTTTTAATGCTTTCATGCTAGTTTGTAATAACCATATAACTAACTGTTTATTATTTAGGCATTTATTACATCATCAGGTATTTTCTGGTTTATTTTCATTGATAAAATAAAATAGTTAGTGCAATCTTAAAATTTATTGATTGACAATATCACTTTATTACTTTGTGCTTTTATTGTGTTTTTCAAACACAATAAACATAAAAAGTGTTTCATTGTGTTGACATGATCAACAATAAAAATAATTTAGTTTATCCAAATTTCAATAGTAAAATAATTTTTAGTTGTAATTCATATATTTACAGTGGTGTGAAAAAGTGTTCGAACAAGCCAAATTTTTATAAAAATGATAAATTTTTCTATTTAAAAATGTTTTTATCTTCTTAATTGCAAACTAATTTAACCCATCAGACATAGTAGATGTAATATATGAGCCTTTCAGTTGAAAGAATGACTAACTCCAATTTCAACACTTTTGAATATTAATTTAGTGATATTTCTACTTTTATTCACAGTTCTATATTTCAACACTGCAATCATCTACTCTGGAATCAACTTACTCACTATCTGTAAGATATAAATTTTCCAACTAGAAATATCACTAAAATGACTTTACTCAAAAATGTTGAAATTGGAGTTGGTCATTCTGTCAACTGAAAGGCTTATATATTTAAATTAGCATTATTTTCAATTCAACACAAATCCAAGCCAACGGAACCAATCAGTTGTGGTGACATGTTCAGGGGCCAAATATTGTTACCTTATTGTTTAAATTTCATTACTTTTTTATCAACTTCAGTCTTTATTCTTTATTGTTAACATCAAGAGGCTCTTGTACAAACTCTAGAAAGCTGAATGTTTCTATAAAAATTTCTTTTAATATTGGAATTCTCTGTTTTTTTCAGAAATTTAATTTAACATTCCATATATCATAATTTATTTTTCTTTTCTATTTAATATCACTTTTATTTTTAAAAATGGCAAAATATCCATATTTTTTATTGTTATCTCACAGAAAAATAAAGTTTTGCCAAATTAACTTAATCCCTCATTCAATTAAATTGTATGGAAGAATACTGTGGTACCATTTTACATCCAGTTACCCATCTATTCACAAGAACTCTCTAACTCCAGATCAAGAAACACACCCCAAATCATTAAAAACCCAACTCCGTATTTTATTTTTGGTTGAAAACATTGATTCAAATATTTCACTCCTGATCTCCTCTAACATACTGTCTCCTTCCGGAACCAAATATTTTAAATTTTGACTCATCTCTCCTTAAAAATTTGTTCTAATCTTCTTCCATCCAATTTTTGAGTTCTTTGGTATATTTAAGATGCCTTTGTTGGTTAAGATACAGAAGAAATAGTTTTCTCCCCTGGGAACAGAACCTTTAAGGCCTAATGATAAGAGTTTCCTTGGTCCTAGTAGCATAGGCTATTTCTTGAGCCAGTTCTCTGCTAGATTTTTAGCGGTTGTAGCAATACAAATAATTTTGATTGTTATTTAGCAGTAGGATTATGTATTTTAGATCTGCCTGAACATTTCAAGTCTCCATTTTGCCTGTTTTTATAAAATAAATTTATGGCATTATGAATTCCAAAAATAGAACCTTCAACTTCTTTTTAATTTCCCCTAATTGAAAATTCTTGTTGATGCAAAATTATAATTCTATGTCAGTCAAAAATGTGATATTTTGCCATTTTCTGAAAGAAAATTAACATCAAATAGAAAACAAAAAGAAATTATGAAAAATGAAATGTTAAATTAAATTGCTGAAAAAGAAGGAAAATCCTAATATTAGAACAATTTTTAAAGATACATTCAGCTTCCTAGAGTTTGTACAAGAGCCTATTGATGTCAACAATAAAGAATAAAGACTAAAGTGGATAACAAATTAGTAAAATTTAAACTATAAATTTTATTAGGTATTTTACTCAGTAGCTATTTTATCATTTTGGTATTCTTGGATAGTTGTTAATTGAAAATAATTATAATTTAAATATTTATTACATCTACAATGCCTACTAGGTTAAATCTGTTTACAATTAAGAAGATAAAACTCTTTTAAATTGAAACATTTATTACTTTTATAAAAATTTTGGTTTGTTCAAAGACTTTTTCACATCACTGTATATATTTCGATGAATCCCTAAATTATTTTACCCAAAACTTTTACCACATCATTACGATTTCCGAAACCTGGCTCAAGCCTTACATCCCATCCTCTTCTGTCCCCTTCCCAACTACATACTAATCCGCCACAACTGGGACAGCCGGACTGACGGAGGTGTAGCTATGTACGTTCATGAAAGCCTGAAGACCCGAATTCTCCATTGTTTCATTCCATCCGATCAGTCGAGTTCCTAATTGTCGAGATCTCATGTTACACCTCTTCCCTCCTCTATACTGTAGTATATTGTCCTCCTCTTGTTCTATTTGATCCATCTTTCAAGTCATCCCTCTTCAACTTTGTTCCTCTTTATTCCAAAATTATCATTTCTAGTGACTTAAACACTAATCTCCTTTCTGAGGTCAGCGATAAATCATGTCTCGAAAACCTTTTTTTCTCTCTTCACTTATTTATCGTTCCTTTTTCTGCTACTCATCACACTGCCAGGTCTGACACTTGGTTGGACCTGTACATTATTGACTCCGCTCAGAGCCTCCTTTGCTCTTCCCAATTGCCAGCCTCCTTCTTATCGTCGCATGATCTAATCCAAATAACATACAATACCCAAACTCCTCAGATCCTATCTAGAACCATAACACTCCGTTACCTTGATGACCTAACTTGAGAAAAAATCTTACCCTGCCTGGAAACCATAGATTGGAGTATATTATATTCCTGTTCTACAATTGATGCCATGGTGGATATCCTCACCTCCAATCTTCTTAATATCCTTGAAGCCCACGCCCCTCTCAAAACCTCTACCTTTTATCACCGTCCTGCTCCCTGGATGTGTCAGCAAATTAAGGATCTCTAGAAGAGGCGTGATGCTGCCCATAGAAGCTTTAGACATACTAGGCTGGTCGACGACTATCAAGCGTTTAGGATGCTCCATAATCTGGCACAAACCGCAATCCGACGAGCCAAATCGACAATCCAGCCACCGATCCACAATCGAGCCAAATCCAAATGAATATTCATTCGAAAATTCTCCCTCTGTGAATCTTCCAGGTCCCCTTCCTCAGCAGTATTTTCAGTTTCACCAGATGATTTAAACTCATATTTTATATCTGCTTCCTCTTCCACTCCTCCTTTTACTGCTTCCTTCTCTTCTCCCGGTACATCCTTCAACAACTACAACTTTTACTTTTCATTCATCTTACCCACAGACCTCATATCCGTCATGATGAAATCACATTCCTATTCTATTGGTCCAGATGCCATTCCGACCAAATTAATCAAACTATGCATTCCCGAAATCCTTCCTGTTCTCCTATTCATATATAATTTCTCCCTCCCTAATTGGGCGCTGAGAGATGGTTCATGGACTGTAAATGATTTAGGATCCATTAAACGACATTACATCCGTACGTACACTGATTATTTTATTTAATCCAAAAACAAATTCTATGACAGTTAATTTACACATAAAAAAGATAAATTACTATTGTTATGTCCTCTTGATTCAGTCTCTAGTAAATCTGACCACACATAGATTACGTTGAATAATCTTGAATTTGATATACTGATATTCACTTGAAACTGGTCTTTACATAAGTTTATACTGGCCTGACTCCTATGGACATGTTTTCTCGAGAGCGTTCCGGAACAAATAGAAGGTGCATTCTGGCCCACGGCCGGACGAAGACTGGACTTTGAGAGGAAAGTGGGGGTTGGGTCCTTCCCTCCACAATATTTCTGACTCCAATATGTATTTTTGAATTTGAATATTTGATAAATAAAATCATAGCAATTTAAATTTTGAATTTACCTTATAACTAATTTAATCTCAATATCTTCTCCAAGCTTCTACCTTGATTTTCTTTTAAAAGAAGTTTCTATAAGTGTTGTTCCCAATGGTATAGTATTTTTCTTGTAAAGTAGGATTGTCCTGTACTCTTTCTTAAATGCTTTTTGAAAAATTTCTTGATTTCATAAGAATTTCTGGAGAGAATGGAGTTCTGTTTTCTTATGTTTGTTTTATGGGTCTTCTGAGTGGTTAAAGATTTCTTATTTCTTACAATTATGTCTTTAGTTAATCTTGTTTGTTATCGAGTCCAATAGTTGATCTTTCGACATTTTCCTTCCCTATTTAGGTGTTGAAATCTTCCAGTAGAATTCAAATATTTTTGAAAAAACAAATGTGTAGGATAAATGAGAACATTCGAACAGTTTTCAAATAAAAGCAACTATTTTAATTGAAATTGTCAGTTTTCCTTATATTAATAAATCATTATTAATTTGTTGTTTAAGTGTGATCGCTTGCTACTAATTATAAAAAGAAAAATATATCTTTGTAATGCATTTATTTTTATATTTTCTTTTAAATTTTATTTCTTCTAAATAATTCCTGTATATTATAAACCATCTAAATCATACTTTCTTTCTAGATAACAGCAATTCTTTGAATAAATATTTTCCGAAAAACCTAGAAACTTCATCTAGTGCTAAACCTACGGAAACTGACAAAAATAGAAAAAAACTTGTTAAGAAAAATGTAACAGGAAAGTCAAGTAAGCCTTCAAGTAATTTTCATAGTATTATTATTTTTTTTTTAATTTATAAAAATGTATACTCGATTTTCTTATGATTAAAAAACATTTTTGTTTTTTTTGTTCACAGGTAATGTTCCTTCTTTGACTAACTTTTTCTCTAGTACTTCCTCATCACATAATCCTGCTTCTAAGTCAAGCAAGTCGAACAAACCTGGTGGCAGTGCTGACATTAAAAAAACTGAGACCAACAATATCCATGATTTTTCCTCTTTGAAAAGTGAATCGCCATTAACCAGTAGTGCAAGTTCGGATGAAGTTAATATTGTAAAACCTAACAAAGCAGGGTCTGGTACAGGTCTTAAATCTAATAAAGGAGGGACATTAGTTATGAATCCGAGACCAGGTTCATCTGTAAATTCAGATGAGAATTCGGATTCATCAGTGAAAGAGAAAATTATTCCATTCTCCGGGACGGGTCATGTGCTGGCACCAGGAGCTGTTGCAGATCGTTCGAGAAGTGTATTGCTTTCCTTGTTTGATAAAAAAAATTCAGAATCATCTAGTAAAACTGTTGAAAAAAAGACAAATGAAAAAGAAATCAATAGGCATTTGCAGAGGCAAGAATCTTTAAAAAATAAGACTGAAGAAAGGAAAGGTTCGAAACCTTTAAATAAATTCAGCTTTGAAGTTAAGAAGAATGAAAAGGATACAAACAAATGCTTAGATAGTCAACAAAGAGGAAGCTCTACCAAGACAAATGAAAATAATAGTTCACCTTCCAAGAAGGTAAGCCAAGGTAGGCCTAACGATGGCTCTTCTACTTCTAAAGGATATAGTAAAGAAGCTAGTGTATCTGGTACTGAAGTAAAAAAGTTACCGGTGAAAAAAGAAGTTGAGGATGAACCAGTAATTATCACTTCAGATTCAGATGATGACATCACAGAGGATATTGATTTGGTTGTCAACTGCCCTGTTTGTGGTTTCCAGACCATAGGGAGTCTCATTAACGAGCATCTTGACGAATGTTCTGGGTTTAATACAGTTTTTGAAAATGTTCAGATAATTGATGATGACTCTGATTTGGCCTTTGATTTGGCCAGTCAGGTACAGTGCCCGAGCTGTGGTATTATGTGTCTTGAAGATGACATTAATGCTCACTTAGACGCTTGTTTGAGCTGAATGTTTACGGAAGAGAGTTAGCTAGCTTGAAATCTTTATAGATCTGTATTAAAAATTTTCTACTTTATATCTGTGATTCCTTCGTGTCATATATAGAATATCATAGGTTTTTTAATTTTATTTATATTAAAAATAATCATCATTTGTTATTCAATTGCAACAATTGTTGATTATTGGTTTCATGTTCCTCTTGTTTTTGAATGTTTGACAAGAAAAAATGAATGTTTTGTTATTTATTTATTGTTAATTTGGTTTTGGATCCCATTTGAGAAGATGCTGTGTTGAAGTAACAAGAATTATTTATTATATTTCTTTTTTGAAAACATTTTCCCAGATAAAATTGTTATTTTACTATTGACAATTGCATCTAATTAATAATTTGGCTTTTGAAGTATTAATTAGTTTTTTTAGTTGTCAATGTACTTAATAATTCATTACATTCCATTAACAACAATTCTATTAAAAATTATTTTATAATGACAAACTCAAGTTTTGTTTTTAAGGTTTAAATGGGATTTGCTAGCTGAAGTCTGAAACCTTTATTAGAAAGTGTGTACTAAATTAGCTTTTCTAATTTCTTTTAAATTAAATGATATACAAATTATTTATAGCTTTTTACTGTCCTATTTTTATTTTGTTTCAATTATATTTGTTTGTTGTTATTGTAATTATAGTATAAATGTTGTTATAAATTGATGAGATAGATAAAGGAAATAAACCAAGATACCTCAGAAGGCTGATTAATCCTTATCAAAAATGGAATTAATATAATTGCAAATTTTTGCTTTTAGCTTATTAGTTCCATTTTGATTGAATAATTTTAATTATTAAACAGAAACTTTTCCTTCCGATAATTTGTTAATGTTTATCATAAAGATGAGATGCTCCAGTTTCAGCTGTATACTTCGAAGTTATTCAGTTTCAGAAGTGAGTCAGTTTTTTTATTTTACTTTAAATTTCAGATACTTGTGTAGAACAGCTGGAAAGATGGGAGTAGGCTACAAGATCACAATGTAGAGAGAATTCCGAAAATTTCCGAGATTAGCAGTGTATATGAAAGCATTTTATGAGAATTTATGAGTCATTAAAGATTTAATATCTTACATCTTATTTCTACAATCAAATTATACGTTATAATTAAATACATGGTCCACTCCTTTTTACCTATTATAAATTGTATGAATTATTAAAATATTAATGCTGTAATTAGATCACAACTGTCAGCACTTCAGTTTGCTTAAGAGATGTACAATCGTGTACTAAAATGTACATACTCAAGGTGGAGGTTCAGTTGTTAATCTTTTAGTTGGGCCTTACCCAATATCTAAAATAGTTCATTTCTTAATTATAAATTAAATATATTTATTATACATTATTAAACCTCATGGTTAAATTAATTTACTTTGAAGGTGTGGAGGTCATTGGTCATAATTTACTTTCTGGCAGATTTTTCTATACTCAGAAATTTTAGGAATTCCATTACAGTGTGGTCATGAGAACTTGTGTCCTGCTGTCTTCTTGGTGGCTGTGTTCTACTCAAGTACCAAATTTTCTTCTGAAGAAGTTTTCATCAAAATGATTTTTTTTTGCAGATGATGTAATTGAATTTCATGAGTTGGTAGATTGTGAGAATCTGAAAACTTTGAAAATGCCTTAAAAACTGGTCACATTCCTGTGGCTTTTAATTTCAGAAACAGTTAAATACATTCTATTGTGTGTTCAACATTGAAGTAGTGATGTCATTAGCTCTAAAAGAAGCCCTTATAGACAAAGAAAATAGGTCAATTAATTTACAAGGGGTCATTGCTCTTTGGAGATCAAATGGTTTCAAGAAAAATGAATAATTAAAATCTTTCTGAATTTTCCTAAGAAATATATTATTAAAATGTTTTTTGTTGAAGTAAAACATATCAGAATTATACCATTGTTAATTTAATTAAATGGAGTTGAATTAGGTAATATCTCTTTTAAGTTAAAGTAAATTAATGGAAATCAACAGGCCTTCCAATGTACAACAAATTCGATGTAGAGATATAAGATAAAACAAATCAGAACATATTTATCAGTGTCATTCTTATAAAAGAAAGAAGTTTTCTAAGAAGAAATATGAAGATTTGTGGAATGGGATCTAGAGGCATACAATTTTTATTATATTAGTAATGAAAAAATAACTCTGAGATCGGGAGGCACTTGTGGCACACCCAGCCTCTAGAAGTAGGGTTCATCGAATTCATAGAAAACCTAGTGATTGACTGTGGATACTGACTACATTATATAACCCTTGGTCAAGAAACAGTACAAAGTATTGAACCCAAGATAGTTAGCTGTAGTGTTTGGGATTTATTTAAAATAACAAATTTAAACACCATATAAGAGAAGGAAACATAGTATATTGTCCATTTTAATTCACTGATTGTTGATAATTGACTGTAAAGAAATTAATGAGGTTAAAAAGAGAGTATTGTATGAGCTATCTGATGCTTGTGGTATGTTGATAGGTCTAGTTTTCTCTCTTTGACATTAAAGCCTTGCTAGAGAAAATACTTCCTTCCTGGTTCATCCACCATTCTGAATGTTGTTATTCTCACTTTTGGGAACCGAATTGAATTGTTTGATTTTATTGACCTTTCCTCCCCCCCTCCCCCAAAAAAAATTACAAATTGTTTTATTAAGTATCTTTATTATAGCCTTAATTTGAAATATTAATGCAAGTTAATTTTAAACATTCGAACTGAAGTATTTTAAACATTCTCTCCTGGAGGAAATCTGAGGATCATAAATGAGTTCAACCCAATCCGACAAAAAAAAAAAAAAATACGGAGTGGGTACTCTGCCGATTTCAAAGCGTTCCATGATTATTCAATCGTGACAATTAGTCTTCTATTTCAACACATGATTGAACACAAGCTCCACTTTTCATCGCTGACTCGTTTCCAGAGTGTTCCTGAAACCATGAGCTAACTAGATTAAAAATAAAACCTTTCATCAGCTTTCCAACCTTAAAGTAATCACGATGAAGTTTTATTTTTTCATTTTTTGTGTTATCTGTTTCATAACTTCTTTCCAACTTAAACTATAAATGAATTTCTCATGATCGAATTTTTGAAAACTTGGTGAAATATTGAATTAGTATTTTATTTTAATTGTAGTGATTGTAGTTAGTATCTAAATATATATCTTACCTATTTTTTCGCCAGAAACATTGCCCTTTTTTTTTATTTTTTTAAATTTCAATGTTTTTTTAAAAATTAAGTTAATGAAAAAAAAATGAGTCTAATTTGGAATAAACAGGTATGTATTAGTTAAGCTATTAGTTATTTAATTCTGTTTTCCTTAGTTTGTGAAATGTCTAAACGCAACTTAAGATTGTTAATAAAGTATTACATATATTTATGTTTCATATATAAATAAAATACCTTTTTATCCTATAATTCATTTCATGGTTTATTAATTTTATTTTAAATTTATTATGAATATTTAAAAATTGCACTAAAAGTTTTAAAATAAAAAGTTAACTACATATTTGGAAGGCATTGGATTGGCAACTTGGACATCGTGCTCATACCTGTAGGAACATAATAGTTCGTTTTTCTCAGTTTCAATATTGTTTGTATTCTAATCATTACTATTCTTTATTAATGCAATTATCGTTATTAGCAAAACATATATTATATGCATTAATTGGTTTAATTCAAGAGGATTTTCAATTTCAATTATGAAGAAAACAATGAGACATAAGGTACGATTTATTTGTATAAAACAATTTCTTTAAACATATCTTTATGTGTTTTGTACATATATTGCTATTTTATTTCAAATAAACCTATGCATATAACCTAATATTTTAGACTACTTAAGATATAAACTTATATTGAAAGATTCATCTTATTTCAGAGTGATTATTATCTACATTTTTTTTATAAATGCCTTTGTTGTTAATAAAAAAATACACTACTAATTTGCTTTAAAATAGGATATTATGCAGGATATGGGGCTTGTTTTATTTAAATATGAGCGATTTGTTCTGTAATTGAGGTGTAAAGTAAAAATTATTCGAAAGGCATATATTTATTTAATTACAATTATATTTAAAAATTACAAAAATTCTTAATCTACGCTTAAAAGTTACTTAAAAGGCAGTCAGAAATTATAACTTTTTAATTAAACTTTAGACTTTCGAACTTTTGGCTATTGCCGAAGTCCTTATATTTTCTCAGGTTTTGTTTTATACAATTCATTGTTAATATTAGAAATAATATATTGCATCAATTTGTAGAAAACGCAAATTATATATGTTTAACTTGGCTTACTTAATTATGTAAGAGACACTTTATAATAACGATGTGAGGTACAAATTTATTAAAAAACTACTTTATTCTATATTAAAAATATTATCTATTACAACAAAAAATATAAGTATTCTGAAATTTTATTTATATACAGCTACTCATAAATAATTAAAAAATATTTTACTTAATATTTTCTTTTATTATTAATATTAAGAAAGGATTTTTAACTGTGGTATTTTTTACTCGTATTTGCTGCCCTATTTGGAGTAAATTAGGATGTTAAGGCTTCAAAAAAGGAAACGAACGAGCAAGGTAACGTTGAGGTCACGGGGAGAGAAGGAGGGGACTGAAGCCCTCCCCCCAAAATGGTAAAATATAACCTTGCCTCATGAAAAAAATATTAAAACATTATCTCTAAAAGTAGTACTTTTAATAAGGAATTTCTCTCTAGTGTAGTTACGTTAATACGACTTCAAGAATCACTTAAACGTCATTCCATATAGGTAATTCGGATCTTTCTTCGTCTTCCAGAATAATAATCGTTATATTTTATATATAAAAATAAGCTCTCGGGCTGAAGCCCCCAAAAATTAAATACTGGATCCGCTAGTGATTGAGGTTATCAATTATTCCCGTTTTTGAAACACCTCAATGTAATGTGACGTCAGTAAACGCAGTTTATACTACAGAGCGCTATAGATATCGAGGTCTATAGTGATGTGGAAGGTAGAGAAAAATATGATTTATTTTCCCATTTTGATTAGAATAGGTTTGGTCTAACCTCTTTAACAACTCTCGTTTGCCAGAAATAGCGACGTAGCGAAAATCGAGGAAAACAAAATGTTATACCTTGTTTTTAAGAATATATATACAAAATAACTGGAACCTGTCATTTTTTTTATTATAATATATAGCTATTATAAAATTATTAATTTAAATTTAATAATAATAGAGTTCTCTCCTTAGGTGCATTTAGACATTTCACAAACTATGGGAAACACAAATATTTAAATGATTATTTCCCTATGCTAGTATTTTTGTTCCTTGTGTCTGCTGTCGATAATAAGAGAAATAAAAAAAAAGTCGGGCTTAGCCCAAATGTCGATATTTGTTAAGTTAGCTAGCTAATTGTGTTTTTCATAGTTTGTGAAATGTCTAAACGCACCTTTACAATTGAAAATTCTTCGAAAAATTGTTAGCGCGGAATGATATATTTCAAATCACACAGTACACAATGTCTTAAAAATTTCAACGATAAAATCTTACATCTATCACAAATAAATTACATTTTATTTTTCATCACAAAATCTTCTCAAACTACGTTCGTCGCTTTTGTGCCAGATATGCCTCACATCCACATATGCCATAATAAAGTAAGACTAGACAATTGCATAAAATTAGCTACGCTACTGTGACCTAAAAGATTAAAAAAAAAAAACCTAAAATTTGATAAACAATAGTTTAAACAAAATTTATAGAAGCAGAATCAGCTTTAATTTTTCTTTACATACCATTCAATTTATGCTCTTGAATATTTTTACCGCGAACCTCAGCATTTACTTTTAATTGATAAACTTTTTTATATCAGTTTAAATAGTAATAGCTCACAGCGGCAGTACATTTTATTAATTTATCAAACTCTGTACTTGAGATTTAAGGTACTAGTTTTTTATATATTACCTAATCCCACTTTTTTCAACACAATTTCCAATTAATTTAAATTCTTTATTTTAATTAAATCTATTGTATAAGTAAAATTCATTATACAGTGTTTAGAAGGATTTTTTAACAGTTAAATACCAATACAATCAAATAGAATTGTAAATTTCCATAAAATTTATCACTTTTTCTCTCTCTCTCTCTTTTTCTCTACCTTTTTATCTATCTCTACGTGACATGCACAAATCTGAAGTTTTACGTATTAGGTAACGTTTGTTGCTCGATAAGGTAACTATTTTAGTTTCATAAAAATACTTCATGATTTGAGATCAAACATAATAGAATGCGTAGTGTTGATAAATACATTACACTCGAGCCCCTCATAAAGGCGACATAGGGGTCGAATTGACTAAACATAAGGATAGGGGATCGACCTCGGGATTGTCCTGATCAAGGATTCCAGTCGCTGCATCCTGGCAACTGCGGCATAATTGAGTTTCTTCAGGTCCAGGAGCTCTTTATTGAGTTCGCTGGTGAGTTTGGAAGTCCTTTCCAGGAAGGCGGACATCTCGCACTGGAGCATGGACAGCTGCTTTTCGAGGACTTCCTCCTTGGTCGAGTTGGCCTTGGGAGGATCGACATAGGTGCACATCCCGCTTGGGGGTATCGTCCTTAGAAGGTCTTGCTCCTCGCTCTTCACCTTCTTTGGTTCCCTTGTCGTCTCTTTGTTTTCAGGTTCCTCTTTGATCTTCTTCTTGGGTAGTTCGGTGGTCTGAATGCAGTTATCTTCCGTTTCAGTGTGGGGTGGGTCGGTGAATTCTTCGACCAATTCTGTAATTCAAAAGGCGTTTTAACTTTTATAAAAATATCTAGCAATTTATTTAATCTATACTACTCTATTTTTAGAACATTCAAATTTAAAAACTTCATTAACATAGATGTAAGGGTTGGAAAAAAGAAATATCATCATAAAATTATTTATGGAAGATTTCAAATGTTGAAAAACTCCAAAAACCCAAGCTTCTCTAGATAAGGTTTATTATAAATCAAGTGGCGTTTCGCCAGTTTCAAGACAAAGACAAAAGATTATGTGATATCATTTAGTTAGTTTTTTATAGTTGAAGTAAGATTTGTGGTCTATGTTAATACATAACTTAATGTTTTTCAATCCTAACGATTGTTCTGATAAGAGAACCACAGCAATCGGAGTACAAGTAAATAAATATAAAACAAAATATATGCTAATTAGTCCAAAATCCGGCCGTAATAGCAGTATCAGTATAGAAGGGAAATCGCTACCGGTAGAAGACAAATTAAAATACTTTGGCTTCATAATAACCTCAATGAATGACCAACGGTCAGACATTGATCAGCGTTATAAACGTAAACAGAGCTTTCTTCATTCTCTTAAAGGTATTGAAATCCCGAAAATTATCTAAAAATCCCAAATAAATGCTATGATAAAGCCAGTTATGATATACGGTTGCGAGAAATGGGCACTAGCCAACACTGTTGAAAGAAGTATTGTAAGATTTGAGTGAATAATCCTCCGCGCGATAACCAAAGCGGCTTAATTTAATTGGTCAATCAATATCTCAGGATATGAAGGTAAGGAGTTTAAGATGGGAATTGCTTCTAGATCGGTGCAGTTAATCTGGAAGCTTCTGCACAATAATGGATGTTTCATGAATGATGACTCTGTGGAAAAGTGAAAACCAGATAGAATCTGATGTAAGATGCAATAGAGCTACAACAGATAACTGGAAAGAAATAACCGAGAATAGGTAGAAATTGAGAAGAGTGGTAAACGGTTAAAAGATCTGCAAGATCAGTAATATCAACAGAAAAAAAAATTCCAATGAGATCTTGACTAGTGATACGTTGACTACTTAGTATTCTACTGGTATTTTAGAAAGTCAAGGGTCAATTTCGGAATATTCGAATAAGTTGTTGATTATTAATAAAATCATAGTTCCAATGAGACCAGTTATTGAAAAAATAATTGTCTTTCCTACTTACCGGGTACAGTCCACTTGTTTGATGGATAGGTGTAAGGTATTCCTTCGTACCAAACTCTGGCTGAGAAGTCAAAGACATCGCCGACTTTGGCCTGCCTTCCTCGGTCCCAGAATGTCCAAAATATCTCCTCTTTGGTGCCGTTTCCCGTTTTCCAGGCCGTCTCGTTCGTCCTCTTTATTTGGAAGCCAAATCCGTCTATGCCACATGTATCTGAAAAGTTAGGAAATATGTTTACAAAAAAATAAATAAATATTTTACACTTTTAAAGGATAATAGAAAAACTTAAAGAGTTCGTTTGTTAAAAGCGATAATATAGAACTATTAGTCTTTAGGCTTTATAACTCTATATAATCCACAATAACAGAGCAGTAACCACAAACTTCAAACAATCTGGAGAACTTATGGCAATAATGCAAGCTAAAGTTTACCGTGGATATTTGCGGTTTAAAGCATAGGGACAAAATTTTAAGGGTATTGGAGTCAACTTTAGAAAATACCGATCTTATTACAGAATAGAAGTTGCTTTATTTAGTTCAGGTATGCACGTATTCAGTACTGAAGATACAGTGCTTTAGGATAACGATATATTGCTTTTCTTTAAATAGTTTGAAACACTGTTTTAAAAATAGAAATATTGCTGATATCAATGGCTACCGATTTGAAGATGCTTTCGATCGAGTTTTTTTTTATTGATTATTAGTTTTGCTTCGATACTTATTTATTACAGTTTAAGGTGCGGTATAGAACATCACAGGCTAGATAGAAGTACTATGTTCCTGTTGCATATTACCATATCAGTCTGTAATGATTTTCTTTAGAAACTAAAATAAATTCTTCTGACATTTGGGTTTTAGCTTATAGAGAATTTCATGATAAATACAAGTGATTACAGCGTTCTAAGATATGTTCAATACTTAAGGCATTGTTGCAGCTGTTGCATCTTGGTGAAGGAGTAATGATAACCTGAGTCGAGTAATGATTGTTTTGGGGATTCTCTATTATCGACTGACGGAGCTGCGAGGGAGGGGGATTGGCTTTTGGCCTTCAAAGACCACTTAAAATCATTTTATAAAGTTCGTTGCCCGGCAAACTGATAACCTAAGTTATAATGGATGGAAAAATAATCAACAGTTCAAATCCCGATATTCGGTGGGACTTTTAACTCGGAATAATTCCTCCGCCCTCTACCCCGGCCCGACAAAAACCTGTGTAGCCTAAAAGGTAAGAAAGGGGAGAACGAAAAAAAAAAAAAGAAAGACGAAAAAAGGAGTTTCTTTCTTTTTATTCCAGAATAATTAGCGTAAAAAATTGCCAACATTAAACATCGCTACTGCTGCTATCTGAAGGAGTGATAAAAGGTGTTTATTGTTTGTTTTCAGTTTCTTAGTGTTTAGTATCTTGATACAAAAGTATGCTTCTTTGCTATGATTTAACACGGCCATATTGAGTCGTACAACACCATTTTAAGGTTAGATACTGGGAGTATGGTACATGTTTCTTTGGTACATGTGTCAGTCAGTTATCTTCAGGTTTGTACTCATACAGTTTAGATGTTATTGCGTTAATCAAGTACAAATGTTCATTTACTCATTATGTTTTTGAAACAGGCATATGTACTTCAAATTTAAGAAGATTGGAGCCGTTGCAAGGAGAGAAGTACAATAAAATTTTACATCTCCTCAACTATGTTGAGTTGGTAAATGACCCATCAGATCCCCCCAGTCCCAATAGATAATAACATTAGATATTTTTGGAACTACCATCCAAACAATAAATAAACTGTATGAGCGTAAAGCTCATAACGAAGTTGTTAAATTAATACAGATAATGCTGCAGGATTCAAAATGAGTCTAAAATGATAGATTCTGCCATACTCTGCAGATGGCTCCTTTCCACACCGAGCCGTTCCAAAAAGTGGAATTGCTCCTCTATTCCCAAACCGAAAATTCTCTTTCACCAAATTCCTCTCTGTATTTTTCTTGCAGCAATGCATTTTTTATAGATCTATATATATTTTGAGATCTTGATCCCCATCATTGGTTTCAAATCGAATTGTAGAATTAACTATCAGAATCTCTTTTTCTTTCGCACTAAAGGCTAAGATATCTACGAATCTCGTCGAGCCTTCTGTATATATGCAATATAATTCAAGGAAACATATATATTTTTTCGTCTCTAGGAATCTTGCAATCCGATATTTTATATTATTGTCTGTCGGGTGTCAAGGAGCAGGTTATTCGGACATTTAACTAGTATATAAGCTATGGTTTCTGACTCTTCGCCGCATTTTCGTAATGTAACGTTACATATATACACGAGTGTATTTGTATAATTTAAAATAAAAATACAGGTGACGAACTGAAGCGAAACATCTCTGACCTTAACAAGATGTAAGAACTGTGCAAGACATAAGGTTGAATAGAGAGACTCTCCTTCGACCAGAAGGGTAGGTTTAATAAAGGAACACTCCCGTGTTTGTGGGGATGGGGACGTTTATTAGGGTTGTAGTTATAGGGATCTCGATCCCGGGGGATTATTACATTCCGGCGGCCCTAATAGCTCCTCTTAATTCTAATCTCTATCCCTGATGTAGAGTCCTATCGGCCACTTAGCGAGCTACCTCAGCCTCTTCCAGGTCTCTGCTGCTCCAGCCATATCGTTCCATCGCTCCATAATGGTAGAACTGGACCAAACGGACTTCTCAATTTGAATTAAAATTGCAAAAAAAAGTTGTTTTTAAAAAAACATTTTTGAATTATAACTTTTATATTAATCGCATTCATTATATATAAATCCGGTGGTAATGAAAACCATGTCCATTTTTGTATTTGTTCACGGGAGTCAATTTTCTACAAGTTTGAGCAATTAAAATTTGTCTAAAATTTCTTAGTACAAAATTATTTAACATGTAATAGAAAAACATGTAATAACCAACCAAAATGATTTTGTTCCCATTTTTTTTTCTAATTAGTTGTTTGATTATAACCTTTCTCAGCTATGTTTAGTGATGCTGATCGTATGAGGACCCTAGCATTTAAACGAGATTTTAAAGCACTGTTCGAGGTACGAGGATCAATCAACCTCGTACCTCGTGCAACATGTTTGCTTACATAAACAAACTTACGTTTTTACAAATAAAGTCTAGATTTGTTTTGCTATTATTTATGTTAATGCGTTCTATTTACTTTTATGAATTTATCGACGGATAAATTGCAATTATAGCTTCTTTTATTTGACTATGATTAATTTGAATATTCCAATTTATTGTGCAGTACAATAGTAAGAATTTTTAAAGAGCTAGGGTATAAGTTTATTTCAGTATGCGTTTGGATGTTATGGAGTGGGTTAGTTTTCATTTATGTTCCGATGTTCCCTGAAATGTCGAATCGTTGACGAATTATTTCATTATTTACTTCTTTTCTTCTGGGAAGGTGTATGATATTCCCTATTTTCGGCAATGAAAAATGAAACCAGATTTACGAACAATTGGTTTATTTGTAGATTGACATGTTAAGTTGACGTTTCGGAAAAATTATTTCCATCTTCAAAAACTTAAAACTCCATATTTTCATTGCGATTTATGGCTAAAGTCTGACGTACTCCTTTGTCATGATTTGAAATTTATGTTATAAATAAAATAAAGTTATACTAGCTGGAGCATCAACGTTCCTAGGACCAATGGACCAATAGGACCAAACAGCCAATTATTGGCATATTTTACATTTATTCTTATTATTTACATTTATTCTTATTATTAACACGGTCATCAAAACCTATGCAGATGACACTTGTATCATACCTGTTAATAAAGACCATTTAATAATAAAAATAAATTCCAATAAATCTCATCAAATTACCTTTACCCTTCTTCGTAAACCCACAACTTCTTGTCCTACAATACTTCTCGCCTAGAATTAAATAGGGAGTGCTACCACTGGTCAGTATCTCTTCAAGTCTGTTCATGTCATTGTTTCCAATGTGTACATTTTTACAAGTAGTATTGTTTATACAGTTGTAAATTACATTAAATAAATAAAAAAAAAAATTCTTATTATTTACCTTTATTTTAGAGGCAGTTTAGAATTTTTCCCATTACAACCTGACATAGATTTTCTATTTCTTTGTGAGTTTTTACGCGTTTGCATTAATATAATTTTATTGTTTTAATTTTCGAAGAAACGCCACCACACTGCGAAGTGCCTTCGACCTTAAAAAAAAATTTAATGGCGCACTCTACGTCGGAACCCAAGGCCTGTGGGCACTCCTGCCTGTACCAAGCAGAATCCCGGCGGAATATACCGTCCCGTGAGCACCCTTCACATCTTCCACAAAAGTCCACTGCAATATTTCTCCAACGAGGGCTGCCTTTTGTAGTTCCAAAAATAAAATAAAGGACGGGAGGAACAAAAAAACAAAAAACAATTTCCATTCATATCTGTCGACGAAAGGTCCATTATACCCGCTGGTGTAATGGCCACTTCTCCACTGACTAACGAACCTCTTGCATTCATGATACTCCCCGCTGCCCGAATATGAGCGCATCTGTCTTCATTTGTATTGTCCTGTACACTGCATTCGCGAGGTGGAGTAACCTATCATTGTTCAGCGGCTACGCACCGCAATCCACCCTTGTCATCCTGACACATTTTTTTGTTAATGTGCAGCTAAGTCAAAAATAACATCATCTAAATTAATAATTCGAATTTAGAATCTTTTAACAATTTATTGATGTTTGACTTTTTTCATTCCCAAACAGCGTGTATTTCAAATGAAAATATTAATGCACCTAAAAAGGAATCTAAAAATATTGCTATATATTTACTAGATCGATACAGATACCATCAAAGTGGATCACTTTGTCCAATGTAACGTTATGAGACTCGCAATTGGTAGTCATAAAAAGCTTGATAGAGAAAGAGATGAAAAATATTTTTTGATTACTAAGTGACCATTTGATTACCATAGCCTTATAAGTTGCGAAGTATTTTCTTACTCTTAGACCGATGACTAACATGTAATCCTCATACTAGACTTAAAAGACAAGTGTTTAACTAACGATATAGTCTGCTTTATAGACTACTGAATATAAAGCTTCAACTTGCTTTTGACAAAAAACTACTGATATACAAGAAAATCTCAAAATCTATTTGTAACTAAGGACGAGAACTGTGTGGAACATCATTTTTTAACATCAAACGCACCCAATCCTT